CTACGGTGGGTGGGGGGCTTGCTTCTTTCCTCACATACTGGCAGCTGTGACATAGATCCACATGTGGGTGGCTGACATCCTTGGGAATGCCTTCTCTTCTGGTATAGAGAGAAGTGGGACAAAGGTATCAACAGATGTTTCCCTTGGGGCTGTGTAGCCAAAGCTGTGATGGTTAATATTGTCAACATGACAGGATCTCGACTCACCTAGGAGGCACACCTCTGGGCATGCCTGTAAGGTTACTTCTAGACTATGTTAACTGATGTGGGAAGACCCACTCTGAATGTGGGTTGCCACCATTCCATGTTCTTTGTCAAAAGGAGAAAGTGACCTGAACACCAGCATCCATCTCTCTCTGCTTCCTGACTGTGGATGCCATGTGACCAGCTGCCTCATGCTTCTGCCATGATGGACTATACCTCATACTGTAAACCAGATGCTCCTTTCCCTTAAGTAGCTTTTGTTGGGTATTTAGTCCCAGCAATGAGAAAAGTAACTAATATAGACATTGTCCTGGCATTTCTTCTTGGTGAGTGACAGCCATGTTTACTTGCACGCAAACACATGCGCGCGCGCGCGCGCACACACACACACACACACACACACACACACACACACACGTGTGAATTGTCCTGCTGTGACCTTTGTTTCCAGCTTCCCCTTTGTGAGGATACTGGTTATTTGGGTCTGGCCCACCTTTATGACCCTGTTTTATTTTATTTTATTTTTTCCAGACAGAGTTTCTCTGTGAAATAGTCCTGGTTTTCTGGGAACTTGCTTTGTAGACTAGGCTGGCCTCAAACTCACTGAGATCTGCCTGTCTCTGCTTCCCAAGTGCTAGGATTAAAGGTGTGTGTCCCCATTGCCCAGCTTATGACCCCATTTTAACTCAGTTACATCCACAAAGACCCTTTCCTCCTTTGAATGTGTGTATAGTGAGCATGTGTTCATGCATGGTTTTTATATGTGTATGGACATATGTATGTGGGTATCTGTGCATGTGTGTGCATACGCACATGAAAGCTGAAGGTTGATCTCAGCCTGATCCATCTTCTTCACTGAGGCAAGGTCTCTCAATCAAACCCAGAGCTCACCCATAATGGCTGGTCTTGCTAGCCAGATTGCTCTGGGGATCCCCCATCTCAGCCTTCCCAGACTGGAATTATGAGAGGGTTTCCATATCCACCCAGAATTTACATTGGTTTCTGTGAATCTGCACTCTAGTCCTCATGCTTGTGTGGCAAGAGCTTTAACGGCTGAGCAACCCCTGCAGTCCCTTTACCCCCCACCAGACCACACTCTGAGGATACAAGATTAGCACTCCAACATGTGTTAATGGGATGGATGGTGTACTCCAAATAACACCTAATGATATGGTTTTGCTTTCTGGCATACTCTGTCTAAGGTTTAGATCTAGGCCCCCAGTGCCCAAGATTGAGTGGTACCCAAAAATATCTTCGTGCCTCACAGAGGCTCATGTGTCCCAGCAGAACTCAGTAGCTTCTAGAGGAAGCATTACACAGGGAGGTTACAAATGACCAGAGGGAGATAACTCGGGGGTGGAAATTAGCTGTTCGATGTTCAAAATGTGTACTGAGCATTGATTTTACCTAAGAACACTTAATCACCCCTTATTACATATTGGGAAAAGATTCGTAAAGCTATTGTTTCTAACCAGCAAGAACTGAGCAAGATCGCTGGCTGTGAACATGCAGAATGGATGTGTGAGCCCTGCATAGGTACCTACAGTGAGGCTACGTGTGCCACCAAGGTGAGGCCCACTCCTGGATGGTGTCAAAAGGCATCTCAGCACCAAGCCTGAGCCGAGAAGCACTAAGCTCAGCACAGGCATTGTAAATAACAATCGGTATCTCTGAACCCCAGTGGCCAGCAACAGCAGTCCCACAAATCTGGACACATGGGACCAGGACATAATCTGTGTTGGGGACAGATGATGTAAGAGAAACACATGCCAGTGATTGGAGCCAAGCTCCTTACCCCAGTCCATTGTGGGTCCAGTCTACACACCCATGCTGGGAAAGCCAGCCTCTGTCTGGTCACCTCGCCTCCACGGCTTACCACAAACCCAGGCATCTCCAAGGATGAGTGTCTCATTTCACCATCTGAAGTGCTGCCTCCACTTGCAAAATTTCCAGTCCTTCGATTCAAGCTGCTTTCTCCCGTGTTCAGTCTGTGGAATAGATGTGAACACCCATTGTTCTCACCCAAGAAAGTAATCTATGTTCATTAGAAGCCCCTGCCACTCTTGGCCTTCCCTACATCTGTGGCTAGCTCTCTCAGACATAATGCCACCCACCACCCAGACCACCATGGTTCTCCAGTATGTGTGAGCTCCAGTGGATGGGGTGTGTGTAGCTTTGCTGAAATCTAGAATCTCAAACAAACTCCAAATAGCCCATTTCCAGCTGGGCCACACAGAATGAAACCTTGCTTCCCAGCAGTAGAGAGAGGTGCCAGGGCTGTGAACCCCCAACAGTATCAGTTTCTCTGCTAGGAAGGATGGGACTTCCCTTTGACAGTTTATCTATAAATATTGCCCATCAAATGCATCCTCATTTCCTTGTACTAAGTGTGCTTAACAGATCAATTTAATATAAAACTTAAAGTGTGCGTGTGTGTGTGTGTGTGTGTGTGTGTGTGTGTGTGTGTTGTGTCTACCTATTGGATTCCCTGGAACTAGAGTTATGAGCTACCACATGGGTGTAGAAAATGGACTTGCATCCTCTACTAGAGCAGCCCATGCTCTTAACCACCATGCCATCACTCCAGCCCTGAGTCGTATTGTTTTTCTTGATTTCCTGTATGTTTGGTTCTCACTCATTCCCAAACTCTCCTCTAGCTGATCAGATTTCATGACATATTCATTCAGATCACAGATGTTAGGAATTCCATTTTCTGGCTGTTCCTTCCTCTGTGGTGAAAGTTTGCCTCCTTGAGAGAGGAAGCTGAGACTGAGACACTTAACCTGGCTTGCGAATTAGAAGATATGCAAAGCTGGTCCCCAGGTTTACAAAGCAGTAACAACATCTGGGGAGGACAGACTCTTCAGTGGGGCTGCCTGCAAGGTGTGCTGAGACCTACAGGGATGCACCTTTCATGAGTCAGCATACACTCTGAGGGGTGGGGTGATGATTGAAGGTGCCTTTAAGTCATCCATGCTCTCTGGTCAGTCACCCCAATAAACACACGGGTTCATGAAGCTAGACTAGCAAGGAATCTCTTTTTGTCTGTCACGGGCACCCTATCTGGAGTGAATAGACATTTGTTCTGATTTCTATGAGAAGTCACAGCATTGTTTCTGGGAGTCTCCTAGGCTCTGTGTGGCAGGTGGGTACCTGTCTCTCTGTTGAAGTCTGTTTCCTGTATCCCACCACTACCTCCCTGACTGGATGGAGCACCTCCCTGTTGTTTCCCAAGCATGAACATAAAGAGTATATGTTTTGAAGGCGCTAATGTGTGGAGACACTGAATCTGTCATTAGGCTGGACACAGAGCTCAGGTTGGAAATCCCTTCTGCTTAGACTATTGCAGTCACTTCCAGGAGGCTCCTATGGACTCCTTCCACTCTGCTGCTTGACTCTTGCCCATAGTTTCACTTCTGTATCTGTGACAAAACACTCTGACTAAAAGCAACTTTGGGAGTCAAGGGAGGTTTATGTGACTTACAATCCCAAGTCACAGTCCATCATGGAAGGAACTCCAAGCAGGAACTTGATGACAGCCCAGCCTGCCATTCCACACAGCATAACCCCCAACCAAGGTACTCACTTCACAGACAAAGCATGTTGGGAACCATGGGGGGATTCTGGCTTTGGGCTGACAGGCTCATGCTCAGTTAGCTTTCTTATATAACTTAGGAATACCTTCCCAGTGCCACCCACAGTGGGCTGGACTCTCCTACACCAATTACTAAGTACAGTCTCCCCAGATATTCCCACAAGTCAATGGGATCATCCAAATTTCTCAACTGAGGCTCCTGGATAAGTCTAGGCTGTTTCCAGTTGACAGTTAAAGTTAGCTAGGACAACCTTGCCCTCTATTGTATTTGAACATGCTCTGATCATGTGACTTGTTATTGTCTGTTATACATACAGTTGCCTAGTCTCTTCCAGTCTGAAATGCATGCTCTTTTAGAAGTTTTGAGAGCTAATTTATGAGCAGTCCTCCTGCGTTTTCCCCCATCTCCCTGTCTCTGTTATTCACATGTTAAAATCCAACATGCCACTTTCTGGTTTATTCCCTCCTATGTCTTCATTCACTTTGTTTTTACTTTTTTAAAAGCACATTTTTTTATTTTTTTATTTGAATTAGAAACAAGATTGTTATACATGTCAATCCCAGTTCCCACTCCCTCCCCTCCTCCCCTACCAACCCCCCCCCAACTAGAACCCTACCTATCACATATCCTTTCTGCTCCCCAGGGAGGGTAAGACCTTCCATAGGGTGTCTTCAGAGTCTATCATATCCTTTGGGATAGGGCTTGTTTTTACTTCTTACCCAAGCATTTAACTCCATGCTTGGGGGCTAGAGAGATTGCTCTGTGATTACCAGCGCTGTCTGCTCTTGCAAAAGACCTGGGTTCAGTTTTCAGCATCCACATGGTGGTTCACAAGCACCTATAACTCCAGTTGCAGGGGATCCAATGTCCTCTTCTGGCCTCCTTGGGCACTACACTCGTGTGTACTTACCTACACACAAACATATCACCAGTAAATGATTTGTTTTTTTTTTACCTTCTTGGTAGGTCTACATGCTGAGATCATATAAAACTTTCTTGTGTGGTTGAGAGACTGTCCTAGGATGTTCCAGCAAGTTCCATGATTCCCTTACCTTGGGAGAGGGCTTCCCTTCCACCTCCACACGTGGTCCCAGGACGGCCACTGCCCCATGTCCATTGATGGCAGAAGCTGAGTGAGGCCCAACACCTCTAAAAGCTCAAGTCTGACACTGTGACCCTTTCTCACCCACTCCATCCACAGAGCCAAGGTGAAGAAGGGGGTGAATATTCTGACCACACAGACCAGCGAACCTCGGCAGTGGGATGTGAGGCAGGAGGTGGGCAATGGAGGGAAGCACACCACCACCTCTGTGGCCTGCCAGCGCCTGGGCCCTGGGGCACGAAATAGGTAAGTAGCCCCTCCAGGGCACTCTGATTTTGCATCTAGTTTTGTCTGGCTTCGTCTTGACCTCTGCTGGCCCAGATGTTAAACCCAGGACCTAATGCCCACTGGAGTATCAATTGGCCAACCATGCATGTCAGCGTGTGTAGGTTCCAGCCTTTTGCTCTTTGAGCATTGGGGCAGAAAGGACATCAATCACCCCCACTTTGTTACCTGAACTCGCTTCTGTGAGTTATCAGAAGATGCTGTGACAAGATGGTCAGTCCCGGAGTAGATTTAGTCACTGGTGAGAAGGAACAGAAGGAAGCAGGCAATAAGTGGATGCTGAGTGTAGACTGGCTGAGGGGATCCATAGACAGTGTGGATTACCCTGAAGATGGCTGTTTTATGGCTATGAGAACAGCACACCCGCTGTTTTGGAAAATAAAACTTAGGCACTTGAAGGTATCCTGTTACCTGCTGCTAAGATGTGGGCTCATCTCCTTCCAGGGTCTCATATACACAATCTCCATATACAGAATATCCATCGTAAGTCATTTGTCTTAGAAGTTTAGGTCATAATATCCACTTGGAGTTTTAAGATTTTTTTTTTCATTTATATAGGAGACATTTCATTTTGACTTTATGTACTTCTTAAAAATAATATTAGCCGGGCGTTGGTGGCTCACACCTTTAATCCCAGCACTAAGGAGGCAGAGGCAGAAGGATCTCTGTGAGTTCGAGGCCAGCCTGGTCTACATAGCGAGTTCCAGGACAACCTCTAAAGCAATATAGAGAAACCCTGTCTTGAAAAAACAAAAAAAAAATATTATTAATGGCTACATAATATTCCACCATGAGCCTTTAACTTAACACAATTAAACATAATGTGCTTTTGATAATCAAGGTTGTTTTCAGGTGTGAGTTTCCTAGATCACTGGTTCTCAACCTGTGGGTCATGACCCCTTTGGGGGTCAAACAACCTTTCCACAGGAGTCACCTAAGACAATTGGAAACACAGATATTTATATTATGACTCATAACAGTAGCAAGATTAGTTACGAAGTAGCAATGAAAATAATGTTATGGTTGGGGTCACCACAACATGAAGAGCTGTGTTAAATGGTCACAGCATTAGGAAGGTTGAGAAACACTGCCCCAGATAATGCTGAGCAGTGAGCTTCCTTCCACAAAAATTTCTCTCTGGTACCCATGAAAAACAGAAAATTGAAGTGGCTTTTCTAGCTTGAGTTTCTGTTGTTGTGATGCATCACCAAAAGCAATCCAAGGAAGAAGAGTGTTTATTTGGTTTCCAGATGACACTCGATCACTGAGAGGAATCAGGGCAGGAACTCAAGCAGGGCGGGAACCTAGAGGCAGGACCTGAAGCAGAAGCCATGGAGGGGTGCTACCTACTGGCTTGCTCCCCATGGTTTGCTCATCCTGCTTTCTTGTAGCATGCAGAACTACCTTGATGAGGCATGACGCCACCCACAGTAGACTGGGATCTCCCACATCAGGCCCCAGTCAAGAAAATGTCCCCATAGATAGTCAGTCTAACATAGGCAACCTCTCAACTGAGGTTCCATCTTCCCAGGTGACTCTAGTTTGTGTCAATTGGACCAGCACAATGCACCCTCCACCTCATAATGCATATTATGCTTGATCCTGTCTTAGTGATTGCTGGTGGAAGAGTTTTAAGTCATCATAAAAGCTGTATCTTAAAGAATAGCTTTCTGTTCATATGTAGGGTAAGAAGAAATGGGAGGGACGGAAAGGGGAGGCTGTTGGGTGTGGTGAAGTATGCTTGGAACACATTAAATACTTGATGCAAATGGTTTTGAGTCTGTTAGACACATGGTTTGCTTGCATTAATAGAGAGGCTGATGGTATTCAGTATGGGCTCACATATCTCTTTAAAAGGCATTCAGACCGACTTGTGCGTGCACTTTCTAGCTGGAATAGAGCTTGGTTCTCCTGTGCTGGCTTGCATGCAATTTCTTAACAAAAGAATTGCTTTGCCAACCTGGGTGACATAGAATTCTTTTATTAAAAATTGAAAACCCTTCTAAATTTGGCATCCCAGCTGTTTCTCTGACACATTCAGTTTTTGCTTAGGTCGGTAAAACACAGCTACAAGAGTTGACAGGTTCCTATGAGCTGTCCATGGGTCAATGGGATCAGACTTCAGTGTGGCTGGCATCTCCAGTATCTGAACTTTAATTTTTGAATGGCAAGTGTTAATCGTAAATATGAGTGGAGTATCATGTGGTATTTCCTTGTAGGCTGCAGCCATTTTTTTGTTGTTGTTTTGTTTTTCTGTCAGAAGTGTGTTCCCCTTATTAACTTCTTCTCTCGGTGCACTTTCCTGAAGGAATTTAGATATAGGAAAGAAAGTTTAGATTATGGGGCATCAGCCTAGAAATAGAGGTATGGGGGTGGGGAGGTGCCTTGGTCCTGCCTCAACTAGATGATGGGACAGACTTCTTAGGGGAGGCCTTATCCTCTCCATGGAACAGATGGAATGAGGGAGGGGGTGGGGGAGTGGTAGGAGATGAGAGAGGGGGAAATGGAATTGGAATGTAAAAAATAAATTAATAATAAAAAAGTGAAGACCAGGATGATGTGGTGGATTTTGCGGAGCCCCTGTTGAGGACCCTACCCTGCCTGGGGAGTAGAGGGTGGATAGGGTGGAGGTCAGGGGTGGGGAAGAAGGGGTGGGAGTGAGGGAGGAAGAGGGAGAAGGGATTGACATGTGAAACAAGCTTGTTCCTAATTTGAACTAATAAAAAAAATTTAAAAAATAAATAAATAAATAAAAGTGAAGAAAAAAGACAAAACCTAAACTAAAAAAAAAAAAGTTATGGGGCATGTCTTAATTGACCCTTAAAATGCTGCCATTAAACAAAACTTCTCCACACTGTTTATGGATGCCCCATTCTTGAGTACAGGGGACCTTCTGCAGACCCCTCCTTTAACACCCAACCATGATAGACAGCTGTCATGCTGAATAGCTCCTGGCTTCTGCCCCAACCATCCCCATGGTGACCCCTAGAAGACTTTTTTGAGCACAGCTCAGGGGCTCAGTCTTTGACCTTGCAAAAAAAATATGACCAGAAAGAAATGTGTGCCTGGGTCGTTAGTTATGGGGGCAGTCAGAAGACAAATTTAAGCCTTCCCAGCTGGTTTCATGTAAAATCTAATTACCACAGACAGTTAAGGAAGTGAAAGCAGGCGTGTTAATTAACAGATAGTGAATTTACACATGTAAATAGTTCTTTGCCTCTGACACAGATTGAGAATCCTTGAAAGGCAGATGAGATATTTGTTGGAAACTCTGAAGAACCATGTGGTCAGACCTATGTGTTCAGGGGCTTTTGAGAACCCTGGTTGAAGGCTGGTGTGTTCCTGAGAGGAGAGTGCATAGCTTTCAAGAGGATTTTGCTTGAAATTATTTTTTAAGTTATGTATGGGGGGCAGGGCATTGCACCACATCTCTGTCTGGTGCCCACAGAGGCCAGAAAAGAGTCTTGGAGCCACTAGAACTGTAGTTACAGGTGGTTGGGAGCCCTCGTCTGTGTCAGGTCCTCTGCAAGAGTGCTTTTAGAAACTGATCCATCTCTCCGGCCCTGCTCTGGAAGGTTTTGGCAGAATGCTATGCACCATTTTCAAGATAGCTTCACTTTAGATTCTAGACAGGTGTACTGCCACCAACTAGACCCAGGGTGGTCAAAAGCAGGTGTGTGTGGTGAGGGAACCTGGCTATGCCTGCCTGCTCTCAGTTTCCCTAAGTGACGTCTGAGAAAATGATTTCCTCCCTTCAGCACCCTTGCTATGGAAGGACTAATATCATTAGTGTGCTCAAATGTGTTTCCTGATTGTGACAGCCAGGACCTCACAATAGCTGCCACTCAGCCACAGGGACTGTATTTAAACAGCAAGGGCCTGCACACTCCATGAAACAGCCGCCAGCTGCTGGAGAGCCTCGTCATCCGTGCAACATTGATGTGTCCCCTTTCACACCCACTTCTCACATGGACCCTCAGAAAGCCCCTCGAGGCTCTCCACTCCATGCGAGTAGGTGACACTGAGGGAGAGCCATACCTGATCTCAAGCACCCAAAGGATGTGGAGCTCTTGAGTCAGCTCCCTGCAGCTCACACAAGTCATTAGATTTGTCTAACCCTGTACAAAACAATATGCCTTTTAAAGTGTGTGTGTGTGTGTGTGTGTGTGTGTGTGTGTGTGTGTGTGTGTGTGTGTAAGCCAGAAGATGACCCTGGTCCTTGTTCCTCAGGTAACCATCCACATTCTTTGAGACATGGTTTCTTGCCAGCCTAGTGGCTGACTGAACAGCCAGCCCCAGGGATCATCCTGTGTCTTTATCCCCAGCACTGGGATTACAAGCACATGTCACCGTGCCCACACCTCTTTTCATGACTCCTAGGGATCAAACTTAGATTCTTGTACTAAGTCACCCCACACACGCACAAATCCCAGCAACATACCCTAATAGTCTCTGAGTGTCTGCATAGCCTAACAGTCTTCTGCTCCAGGTCTCAAGGCAGGCACCATCTGAGTGTCATCCCAGGGTCTAAAGCATTGCATGAAAGAGGGTCATACAGGGAAGGGTCCTTGTCTCTGCTTGTAGATGCTTGTCCTGGTTAGACTTTTTGTCAGCTTGACCCAGGCCAGGGTCAGGGTCATCTGAGAAGAGGATTCCTCCATCAGATCAGCCTGTGGACAAGCCTTTTGGGACATGGGAAGGTATGGCATCTGTCATCCATTCTGCCTCTCCATTGCCCTGGGTCTTTGCATTCGTTCCTTGTTGCTGTAAAAAGTCACCACAGGTGCAATGCCTTAAAATGATGTAAGTTTATCATCTGAAAGTTCCTGAGCTCAGAATATAAGCGGCTTCACTGGGAATTGATACAGGTGTCAGCAGGGCTGCAGGGTCAATCCCTCCCCTTGTCTCCTGGAGCCTGCCATCATCTTTCCTAGGTTATGGTTGACCTCAGCCAGTCATCC